CCGGACCTGTAATTAGGCATCACTTTGTATTCTGACAACCTCTGTAATCCAGGCCTCTAATTAGGCCCCACTTTATATCATGAAAACATAATTATTAATCAGACCTAAATGAATATTCTGAAAACATCTTTGTATATAATTATACCCAAGTACCTCACATTACAATATCTGTATGTCAGAATTATAGCTTGTATAATTTTTAATTTAGAAGACTTAAACCTGGCTTGGAGATTAGTTTTCTGAGACGTAAAATCACAATTATAACTTGGCCTCAAAGTTTACTTATCTATCTACACTGTAGAATACAGACCCTGTAGAATACAGCGTAGAATACAGACACTGTGGAATACAGACAGTGTAGAATACAGACACTGTAGAATACAGACAGTGTAGAATACAGACACTATAGAATACAGACACTGTAGAATTCAGACCCTGTAGAATACAGACACTATAGAATACAGACACTGTAGAATACAGACACTATAGAATACAGACAGTGTAGAATACAGTGTAGAATACAGACAGTGTAGAATACAGACCCTGTAGAATACAGACACTATAAAATACAGACACTGTAGAATACAGACACTATAGAATACAGTGTAGAATACAGACAGTGTAGAATACAGACACTATAGAATACAGACACTGTAGAATACAGACACTGTAGAATACAGACACTATAGAATACAGACACTATAAAATACAGACACTATAGAATACAGACACTATAAAATACAGACACTGTAGAATACAGACACTATAGAATACAGACAGTGTAGAATACAGTGTAGAATACAGACAATGTAGAATACAGACACTATAAAATACAGACACTGTAGAATACAGACACTGTAGAATACAGACACTATAGAATACAGACAGTGTAGAATACAGTGTAGAATACAGACAATGTAGAATACAGACAGTGTAGAATATAGAGTGTAGAATACAGACACTGTAGAATACAGACAGTGTAGAATACAGATACTGTAGAATACAGACAGTGTAGAATATAGAGTGTAGAATACAGACACTGTAGAATACAGACAGTGTAGAATACAGACACTGTAGAATACAGACAGTGTAGAATATAGAGTGTAGAATACAGACACTGTAGAATATAGAGTGTAGAATACAGACACTATAGAATACAGACACTGTAGAATACAGACACTATAGAATACAGACAGTGTAGAATACAGACACTATAGAATACAGACACTGTAGAATACAGACACTGTAGAATACAGACAGTGTAGAATACAGCCACTGTAGAATACAGACACTGTAGAATTCAGACACTATAGAATACAGACAATGTAGAATACAGACACTATAGAATACAGACACTGTAGAATACAGACACTGTATAAACTGGACCTTTTCCTAAACCTGTATACAAGCAAATCAACAGAGCTGTGTCAATAATAACATTTGGTCCACACTTCTTGTATTAGGAACATAATTAAAAAATCTTGCCTTAGGCCTGTATCATTATAGGTATGTTCCTTTTACAAGGCCTACACTTAATAACCTTAACAAAGAAGGCACCAATATATCTTACATAAAAACAGCAAATCAGATTTCTTTGTTATCCTTCATTTCTCAACTGGGAAAAAATGAAACTGTCACTTCACATGATTAATTGAAACACTTCGAATTATCTATCACTCTTGTATACTTCATCGAAATGAACGTTTGTATGTCAATAACAGAAAAAATTGTATATCAAAAGTTAGATCAGCATCTCAAACTTCCCTTACCTGAAAATTTAATTGTGAATAAAAAACCTGTTTTATTTGTAAACATGATTATGAAAAATTCTATCAATCATTCATTATAAATTGAACATCACTGTCAAAACATATCATTTCAGCTTTATCATTACCAAATTAATTAAACAGGATGTTAGATACCTGACATTTCTACAGACAATAAAATTATCCTCCACACTGTTACATATTTAGTATTTTACTAAAATTGTGGTTATTATTGGAAAAAAATTGTGGAAAATGACAGAATTATGACAGTTGATATCTCAAAACGTTTTCTGTCTACATTTTAAAGATTCATCAATAATAGAGCTTTAAATAAGAGGATATGAAATGTCTGAATTCTTCCTCATTTAATGTTGTGTGTTTAAAATATAAACAACAAAACTGTCACATATTTTTTATTTTCATTTAATTTAGCAAATTTTTTGTTACCATTATAAAGTTTATACATGTACTAATTAAATTAGAACACAAAAAACTGATCAAAACAAATTATTACACTGTACCTATTATAATTAGCAAACTCATATAATAATATTTTTTTGTATTTCAAGTTGTCATATTTTGAATAATGTTTTTCAGCTATTTCGTAATATTTGAAATGAGCAGAACTCCTTATCTCACTTTCTGTTCATATCAATTCATACATCAGAAATAAGTGACAAAACTTTGACATTTTTACATATTATTTTCAGATTAAAAGTCATTTTAAGTATATCATTGAGATTAATTTTTTCTGATATTACATTCCCCCCACTGCCGGATACAAAGTTTTAATAAATGTAAAACATAAAGATAAACAAATAATTCATTTCCAATGAGATTTTGTTTCCAATGAGATTTTGTTTCCAATGTAATTTTGTTTCCAATGTGATTTTGTTTCCAATGTAATTTTGTTTCCAATGTAATTTTGTTTCCAATGAGATTTTGTTTCCAATGTAATTTTGTTTCCAATGTGATTTTGTTTCCAATGTAATTTTGTTTCAATGTAATTTTGTTTCCAATGAGATTTTGTTTCCAATGAGATTTTGTTTCCAATGTAATTTTGTTTCCAATGTGATTTTGTTTCCAATGAGATTTTGTTTCCAATGTGATTTTGTTTCCAATGAGATTTTGTTTCCAATGAGATTTTGTTTCCAATGAGATTTTGTTTCCAATGTAATTTTGTTTCCAATGTGATTTTGTTTCAATGTAATTTTGTTTCCAATGTAATTTTGTTTCCAATGTAATTTTGTTTCCAATGATTTTGTTTCCAATTTTGTTTCCAATAATTTTGTTTCCAATGTAATTTTGTTTCAATGTAATTTTGTTTCCAATGTGATTTTGTTTCCAATGTAATTTTGTTTCAATGTAATTTTGTTTCCAATGTGATTTTGTTTCCAATGTAATTTTGTTTCCAATTTTGTTTAATTTTGATTTTGTTTCCAATGTCCAATGTGATTTTGTTTCCAATGTGATTTTGTTTCCAATGTAATTTTGTTTCCAATGTAATTTTGATTTTGTTTCAATGTAATTTTGTTTCCAATGTGATTTTGTTTCCAATGTAATTTTGTTTCCAATGTGATTTTGTTTCCAATGTGATTTTGTTTCCAATGTAATTTTGTTTCCAATGAGATTTTGTTTCAATGTGATTTTGTTTCCAATGTGATTTTGTTTCCAATGAGATTTTGTTTCCAATGTAATTTTGTTTCCAATGTGATTTTGTTTCCAATGTAATTTTGTTTCCAATGTGATTTTGTTTCCAATGTAATTTTGTTTCCAATGTAATTTTGATTTTGTTTCAATGTAATTTTGTTTCCAATGTGATTTTGTTTCCAATGTGATTTTGTTTCCAATTTTGTAATTTTGTTTCCAATGTAATTTTGTTTTTGATTTTGTTTCCAATTTTGTAATTTTGTTTCCAATGTGATTTTGTTTTGTAATTTTGTTTCCAATGTGTAATTTTGTTTCCAATGTGATTTTGTTTCCAATGTAAATTTTGTTTCCAATTTTGTTTCCAATGTAATTTTGTTTCCAATGTGATTTTGTTTCCAATGTGATTTTGTTTCCAATGAGATTTTGTTTCCAATGTAATTTTGTTTCCAATGTGATTTTGTTTCCAATGAGATTTTGTTTCCAATGTAATTTTGTTTCCAATGTAATTTTGTTTCCAATGTGATTTTGTTTCCAATGTAATTTTGTTTCCAATGTAATTTTGATTTTGTTTCAATGTAATTTTGTTTCCAATGTAATTTTGTTTCTAATGTAATTTTGTTTCTAATGTGATTTTGTTTCCAATGTGATTTTGTTTCTAATGTGATTTTGTTTCCAATGTGATTTTGTTTCAATGTGATTTTGTTTCCAATGTAATTTTGTTTCCAATAAGATTTTGTTTCCAATGTGATTTTGTTTCAATGATTTTGTTTCAATGTAATTTTGTTTCAATGTAATTTTGTTTCCAAAGTGATTTTGTTTCAATGTGATTTTGTTTCCATGTGATTTTGTTTCCAATGAGATTTTGTTTCAATGTAATTTTGTTTCCAATGTAATTTTGAAGGCAGACAAGCATTAACTGAGTTTTTTTTTTAAAACTTACTCACATCATCTTTTTTTTTAATTACAGATTTGAATTAACATATATAATGAGTCACACTCTGATTCTTTTGTATTTCGTATGGTGTTGTCAAGACTTTAACTGAAATCATGAACAGGATACAGTCAACGAATTGAAAAAAAAAATCCACGGATACAAGTGCACCCAATTGACCCGTCACAATTATCCAACTGCTGCAACATGTGGGTTATCATTTCATAAAGGAAGTCTTGTTGACCAAGGAAAAGGCCGTGTATGAATGAATGATTCTCCTAAATGGCCCCACGTCAGTATCACATATCGCCCCATTATATATACTACAGGCCTAATTAAATAAGGTCAACCCATATCCCACCGTTAGTCTGTTAATCAATTAATTTATAAACGCTAATGAAAAACAGCGTAACATTAAATATGTGTTAGTAAACAATTAATAATGATAATATTGTGTAATTCTCTTCAAGTTATGTTGAATCGATGATAGAATTTACAATAACATAACGTGTTCTCCTCATCCAAAATAAACACGACGAGTTGACAAGTGGGGCATGCTATATGGGATATAGCCGTCACGCTCACATAATATATCTGCCGAAAACAACTTTGACAACTCGCTCGACATACTTTGGATAAAAAGTTGAACTTACCTAACTCGGCATGTAAAATCTGCTCCTCGGCCAAGACATCCATAGGATAAGCTTCTGTAAATTCTTCTGTTTTTTTATTGTAAATCCATCGAATACACAACAGTCCTCACATGTACGTACAGTCCGGTTAAAATACTTTGCACTTTACACTGTGACGTCACAACACATGACAAGGTTTTAAGCGATTATCTCCCCTAGACCGGAGTGTAACAGGTGCCCGCTTAAAAACATTAATGATGTCATGCATATGTCTAGCTCTAAACTTTGATGGCTTATTCTGCTACTCTGATGCTGGGATATGTGCTTAGAACTAAAAGCCAACTTATGAACTTAAATCGATATAGTTCGTAATAATTTAGTTAAAGCCTGAGCTTTAAATAAACTTAGGTATACTTGTTACCAACGCGAAATGACGTATACATCTGACTCGATACAGTTAACTTAGATCTGAAACCTTCGGATCATATGTCACTTTCCGTTTCATTTATTGATATTTGGACGTCTGAAACACAACTGACGAAAGATGAAAGTTCCATATTTGGTAAGGGTCATATTTTTCTTTCTTTATTACACGTTGCATATTATGCCTGTAAATATCGGTGGACGTAAAACTCGTTAAATAAACAAATAATGAATGAATAAATGACTAAACGGATAAATAAAGGGCCTGTATTCATCACCTTGGCAGACTTATGGTTCCAACAATGTGTAAGTTCAGTCTGATATCACCTTTGCGTGGCATCAGTATGCAAAATTGGTCTGTCTGCTCACAAATTAAAATTGTATTTGAACTTAACTGTTTTATTTGAAAACTGAATAAGGCTTACAGTAAATATGTTAATTTTACCCATACATACAAATATTCCGAAGAGTTCTGACAATCTACCCGCTATATTACAGTTGTCTTGGTCGCAATTAACCGTGAAAAAAGTTTTTAAAAAGAAAGAAAATGCCGAATAGTCAGAACCCTTCGAACTTATATATAATGTACTCCTCCCAGGAATAAAGAGGTCTGGTCATATAGAATTTTGCAATTACAGTAAAGCTCCTGGTAGGATTTGGGGAAGAGAGGCGTTTTAAAGAAAACCTTATAATAAATATAACATTTGTTGGCTCAGTCCCACCCATTTGAAAACAAAATTTGATCGCTTTCATCTTAAGATCTTTCAGACCCATTTTGGTAAAATATCGCCGCGACATTTAGGAAGAGCAGAGTTTGAAGTAAACATCTAATTTTCTGCTTTTAAGTTCAACCCTTTTCCTTCAGGGGACATAATACACGCAAAACTTCATTTTTTCGCAAAAATATGATCACTCTCTCCTATAGATGTGTCTGGTCAGTTTTGGTGAAATAGATAAAATCGCCATGGCGCATAGAAGGATTAGGTTTTGAATGAAAATGTTGATGGACGGCACACGAACGGTGGACGCCGTGCCACTACATACCTTACCAGTCCTCCAAACCAATAAGCTAAATGGTCCTATATCATCTGACCAGAGAAAATCTAACTTTGATTGCGAAAATTAGATACCACTTGACTGAAAGTCCACTGTGTCACGTCAAGTCAAAAACAACTTTCCACATAAGTATTTTCCTGTGGTCGTGCCCCTTCCCCGGTCTCAGGAGGTGGAAAAGACCGCTCACATCTCATATATACATAACATCTCAACAGAAACAGCGATAATCTTTAAAGATTCAGATAATAAACCTCGACGATAAGAAACATAAAGACAATAATTAAAGTTTATAAACTGAAGGGAGGTGTGTATTTTTTCAATTGCAGTGACGATGGGATCTTGCTTTACTAACCCATTTTTGTAACATCCAACATCCCCTTTCCTCAAAAGCACAAGCAAACAAAAACAAAAAGAAAAAAAACCTAATTAGTTTCACTTTAGTCTCGAATCTTTTTCTCAGCGGCTTCTTTTGACCAAAAATAGTCCTTAATTCATCTACGAGGTATAAGAACTATTCTTCGAAGATGTAATCAGAATTCTTCTTAAAGAATAAAGAGAACTGAAATTTTATATTTTTACGGAAGTTATCTGCATATTGATATGACATGATGAAGTAAATGCTGGCGACGTTACCACAGGTTGACGCATACACACCTACACACCGTTAGACTGGCCACTTCATATATGTGACAGTCGTGTTCACAAGATTATCTTTTTAACAATATAAGAAAAGCAATATGACTGACATACACATCATTCGTGATGTCCCAGCTAGAAATACGCTAGATCCAAATGTCCAATTATTAATGAAATGACAATGTTCTAGACATAACTGTCGAGTGGAGCAGTTACTGATACAATCATATTCGTTGTCGAATTGGTGTATAATACACTTCTTATTTAATAACAGAGAACCGACACATATCGTCCCTATACATGTACTCGCGGACTTTGATATATACTTTTATAAGTCCCTGCTACACTTCGATTCAGATATGACACAACCGAACAAAATATTTGTCGGGATTCTGCGACTGTCAAAACATAGAAAAAATAATTGACCCCAGTCTATACACGCAAAGCATTTCATAATTTTCACAAAGAAAAATGCTTTCATCGGAGAAATAAAAATGTTTTCATCGAAGAACGTTGGAGGAATAAAAAATCTTTCACCGGAGAAAATCGGAGAAATAAAACTGCTTTCATAGAAAAAAAGGTAAAATGCTGCCATCGGTGTTAATTTCAACAGCCACACAGCACATAGGTACATTATATTTGGAATGTGAAAACAATAGCGTTTATATGTTCCTTTCCTAAAAAGTACACTGTGTTGGCAAAACATACAAGGGTTTAAAAGATGGAGCCAAGTTCTATATATAGTAACATGCTTTAGTTTGCAGATTCTACGTCCCCGATGGTAATGTACGGACCTCTGTAGCATGATAAGTATGAAATAATCAGTTTGAATGCGTCCCGTGCCCTTCTTCTGTGTGGGCCGTGATCTCGTGAAAACTTCCGGTTAAAAGTACTCCAAATATCAAATAAGTATTACCTCAAACAGATGTGGTGATTCACTCACTGACTAAACATAAAATACAGAAAAGTACCACATCATATATACAGATGTTACAGATTAGACCCCCCCCAAAAAAAAAAAACAAACAAACAAACAAACAAAACAAAAACAAAAACAAAACATACACCAATGAAAATGGAAGTTAAAAACATCGTCATTAAAACACAACGTCTCCTGGGGACTTGGTTAAAGCACAACTGAAGCACATGATCATTCACTTTTAGATAGAGTTTTGAAAATGAAAATTCCTAAAAGTTTGGAAATGCTCTCAAAATTCCTAGAGATAACTTACAGTTTTCAGCACTGCATATGTAATATAACATCAACATATTGATGGCTGACCTCATGGTTGGTCTTACCGTACCGATCACCGTACCGGTCATGGTTGATCTTACCGTACCGGTCATGGTTGATCTTACGGTACCGATCATGGTTGATCTTACCGTACCGATCATGGTTGATCTTAACGATTGTAACCTTACCCCAGAACGAGGCTGATTCCACAATGGATTAGGGCCCTAGTTCTTGGTACCTGGACACATAAGGCAGTTGCTTCTTTCATGTTTGTTACCACTGAGACAGTATTCATTATTATCTCATTAATTGTTTATATGGAGAAATAAGTTTGAAATCCTCTGTTTAGGGGATACAGAATTGAATATTAAATATGCATACAAAAGCTATAGTAAATATTATATCACGGAAATTCAAAACCTCTATCTAATCTGATGCTTTACATATTTTGAAAGTGTATCATTCTACACAAAAAACATAACAGAAACATGTAGTAAGGACAAATGGTTTTATTACAAAGACACAAATCTTCCATACAAGTATAAAATCATCTGGTACACATCACAAGGCCACACTGTTCACTTTGTGATAAACTCATCACAAGGTCGTTCAGATACAACATGGGCTGCGTTCAGATGCAAAAATGTTGCGGAACAAATTCTGATTAATATATTCCCTTAGAACACAAGAACACACCCCGAATACATTAATGAGGCAGTTCAACATTTTTTATTCTAAATGCAACCCTTCTCATGCATCATAAATGTCAACCCTTCTCATGCATCATACACATTTATCATCATTCTCGCAATGTATCTGGAGATCTCCACAATACACTATATAAATAGACACCCAGACACGTGCATTAGACAGAATTCAAATCAAAGTTCTTATAAACAATCTCTTACTTTATCTTGGATACAAATAACCTGCACAAATTTTCATTGAAACATCTGACTGATATTGTAAACAGTTTTATGAATCAAGTATTTTCAGAGGCTGTGAATTATCATATTACCTAGAAATGTATGGATTAATTTCAATATTGAAAAGTAGTTATTTATATTTGTTGTCAATATGAATGCAATCTAAATGATAGATGAAAAGAATATTGTCTTTTAGAATGTCATCAATTAACCAGATTGTATTTATATTGACAGTAAATATAACATAACCATTTAAATACCACATCAACCTGTTTCTTTTTATACTATAATCCATTTTATCTGAAGCTAAGCATCAGAATAACACACGTCAACCTGACGCCTAAAATGATGTCATATCTGCACGCCTATGAATACAATCCAGATTAACATTGAATTAACAGGATGCAAAATGTGAATATATCATACCATTATAAACCTTTTTTAAGGTGAGTATGAAGATTTATAAACTGGTAAATAAATCTTTGTAGTCACCCAAAAAGGGAAGATAATTGTTTCATCATATGCTGACAATCCACACTTCTAATTGGTCAAACATTTTGTATCACAGGTTACTGGATTGTTATATTTATCTATGAATCACTTGACAGGGTCTTGAACTATTATTCTTCCCGTGTGCACCAATTTTTTTCTGTTATGGTGTAACATCGCAATATAGTTGGATCTATGAGAGGTGTTTTGACCAAACAGCGGGTGAGAAAATTTGTCAGTTATATGATAAACTGAAAGATGTCAAGTATAACCTTAAGTCAAATATCATCTTCAACAACAGATACTGTATTCATAACAATTAGAAAAATTCATATCAAATACCTGGAAACTTGGATACAGAAAAAACCCCAAAACAAAGCTGGTTATGATAGGAATGTGCAATACTTAAACACTTACAATATCTATATATATTCTACTACAGTATAACACTAATAGAATCTCCTCCTGACAAAAGAACACAAACAAAATATTTAACTTTGTTCAATAGTTTGTGGTAAACAGAGAAAGATGACGAAGCATTGTCCATCAAACTGCCCATTATCACTTCATCTCAACTGTCCATCATTGTTTTTCATCTAAGTGTTCTTCAAAAGATTTATTTTCAATAAAACAATTAGTTGTATATCACACAGAGAAAATTCTACAAAATCAAGTAATTTGTTTAAGTTGTATGAAATGTAAAAAAGTATTGAATGATGACTTAAACATATCAATTTTCACTGCCAATTAGGATTTTTTTGTGAAGTCTAATATTTGCGGATTTTCCACTTTTGCATGCAGTACTAACAGATTTTTTTTTTGGCTTGGTTTAACTTTATGTTTTTAACTTAGCAGTCCAGACCTGTGACAATACTAAAACAAAAAATACAGCAAAATTATCTTGATTTATGTATGGTATAATCATTCCTTGTATCTACTGCCATTATACTTTCCTTCATTTCAGACATATAACAACAAAGAATGAGCCATATACACATGTTTATGAGGCACCTCCCACTGGTAGATGATAGAAATTGAAAAAGTGTTATTTTTCCACTATCAGAATAGATATGCCTTTGATCTAATCAAGCTAAGAATAACTGGTAGTTTATTCACAATAAAAGCCATGAAGGCACACAATATTGTGATGAAACAATGCAAACTGACCCTATCTGGTCAACTAAACAATAATGTCACTTAACCCTAACCTATGGTACCAATTCACTTATTATAATATAAATAATATATTTAAATAAGTGAATTGGTACCATAGGTTAGGGTTAAGTTAATGTATTATTATATCAATATATTACAGGGTTAATATATTTAAATATCTTCCAGGCCACAAATCCTGGATATTTAACCAGAATCAATAAATTACCAAGCAATTTTTTCCATGAAGCAAACTATTGCAAAATTACAAACAAAGAGAGCTGGGGCATGAAGTGTGAATGATGTAATTTTCAAAGAATTAAAATTGTGAAAAATAGCTTGAAAAGAACATAATCGAGGAAATAAAAGTCATTTAATAACTTTTTTGAAAAATTGTTTTTACTTCAAGCTAGTGGTAAAAACATGGAAATTGAAAAAAAAAAAAAATTAAAAACAAGCTTTACAAGTTACCTCTCAAAGAAGTCAAATGTGACCTATAAGCATTTAAACTTCGATAGGTGACCAGCAAATCTTTTAGGCTGTATGATGCATCAATAAAATGGTAACAATATAAACAAAATCTGTTTAGGAGATCCTATATTTACTTACACACAGACACACAGTCCTTACTTTATATCCTTCCATACTGAGTTGTGGTGTACAATCCACTTGATTGATTCTGTAATACAGTAAATCTACTCTGTACCTCACTGGAATTGTGCACTTGTACACTAACTATCATTCACTTGTACACTAACTATCATTCTCTCACTAAAAACACATTCTTCTTCTACATACACCTCATTTATATCTGTTCTAACAATTGGACATGCTGATGATAAATTTAAGGATTTTTCAAAGACTTAACATGGACAGTGATGACTGCATTCTTGTTCAGTTAATGACTTGTACTTTAAGGGAGGTAATAATTTTATTTCTTAAGTTTTAGGTTACACGTAACGAATGCAACAAAAAAAAAAAATTAAATAGCCTACTATTTCGAAAGATATTGTAGATATCTCCATAGGTGGAAGGGGTGGGGCAGGACAAGGGTAGGGATGGAGAAAGGTATAGAGGACACAAGGTTCCAGGAGGGAGAGTTATTCAAGAGACGTAGAGTGAACCAGAGGGACATAACAGATGGTATTGATATAATGTAAAGAGAATGTGTAGTCATTTGATCTATTTTGTTATTACAGTTGTTAAAGCTCATTAAAAATAATGTAGAATTTTTTTAATTTACTGTAGAAATATCAGGTAAACTGTCCTCATGTCCTGTTGTCAATATTTTATAGAATTACAACATTTACTAGCAATTAAGGTATAAATTAATATATACTGATATATTCCACTTTTGCTGTGTAAGCCTACCATTCCAGAAAAAAACAATTTGAAGAAAACTGTATCAATTCAAAAGGAAAATAGAGGTGATTCAGCTGAATGTTTAAAATGGCCTTGAGGCCATGTGATTAGTTAGCAAGTAGGTCAGGATTTCTACAAAATAATAACTATGTTACTGATGTGATTAAGACAGGAAACATGGACATCCTATTTTATTTTAAAAGAAGAGTGTACTTTTTTTATTAAGTGTTTTGATTTTTTATACAAATTTAAAAGATAAAGGATTTCAACATCCATGTTCTTCACAATTTTAAAGCCTGTTGAAGATATTTTTTCTGTTCTCAAAACAAGATAAACTACACTGTAGACAAAATTGTATAGAAATATCCAAGGAGATAATTATTTGATAGAATGTTTCAGATCTATAATCAATATCATCATGATGTCTTTCTTGCTTTCATCTTTTTCTTCATTTGGAGGTCTGACCCAGATCCTGCGTCTCCCGCCCCTGAGACTGAAGTCTCAGTCTGGCCAGCTGCCAGCATAGATTGGACCTGGGACCATGTACGCATTAAGTATGGAAATAACTGAAACAGCAAACACAAAGGGTGAAGTGATGTCACAAGAGGTAACACAGGAAAGGATAGTACAGTATCACTTTATAAAATGTATAGTGAGACAAGTTTATTAGTCATGTCTCTCAGAAATCCCAGTGTTTGTTTCCTGATAATATATTCAGGAAATAAATATTTGATACACAGTGTATCAATTCAGAAATCAAAGTGTCTAATAACAAATTGAGGTGCAACAGATTTCCGATAAAAGTACGCCTCCCCACAATATCTCAAGGTCATTGTATACAAATTCACAATGTACTCCCCATCAACAAAGTAAAGGTTTCTGGGTCAAATATACCTACACTCTTTGTCTGAATTCAAGAGATATCCTATCAATATATCCCTTGACCCCTGTGTCTGTGTATACCCTGTCTATATACCCCTTGACCCCTATGTCTGTGTATACCCTGTCTATATATCCCTTGACCCCTGTGTCTGTGTATACCCTGTCTATATACCCCTTGACCCCTGTGTCTGTGTATACCCTGTCTATATACCCCTTGACCCCTGTGTCTGTGTATACCCTGTCTATATACCCCTTGACCCCTATGTCTGTGTATACCCTGTCTATATATCCCTTGACCCCTGTGTCTGTGTATACCCTGTCAATATATCCCTTGACCCCTGTGTCTGTGTATACCCTGTCTATATACCCCTTGACCCCTGTGTCTGTGTATACCCTGTCTATATATACCCCTTGGCCCCTGTCTGTGTATATATCCCTTGACCCCTGTGTCTGTGTATATCCCCTTGACCCCTGTGTCTGTGTATACCCCTTGACCCCTTGACCCCTGTGTCTGTGTATACCCTGTCTATATAGCCCTTGACCCCTGTGTCTGTGTATACCCTGTCTATATACCCCTTGGCCCCTTTGTCTGTGTATATCCTATCAATATATTCCTTGACCCCTGTGTCTGTGTATACCCTGTCTATATACCCCTTGACCCCTGTGTCTGTGTATACCCTGTCTATATACCCCTTGGCCCCTGTGTCTGTGTATACCCTGTCTATATACCCCTTGGCCCCTTTGTCTGTGTATATCCTATCAATATATTCCTTGACCCCTGTGTCTGTGTATACCCTGTCTATATAGCCCTTGACCCCTGTGTCTGTGTATACCCTGTCTATATATCCCTTGACCCCTGTGTCTGTGTATACCCTGTCTATATACCCCTTGGCCCCTTTGTCTGTGTATATATATACCCTTACCCCTGTGTCTGTATACCCCTGTGTCCCTTGACCCCTGTGTCTGTGTATACCCTGTCTATATATCCCTTGACCCCTGTGTCTGTATACCCTATCAATATATACCCTGTCTGTGTATACCCTGTCTATATACCCCTTGACCCCCTTGACCCCTGTGTCTGTGTATATCCTGTCTATATATCCCTTGACCCCTTTGTCTGTGTATACCCTGTCTATATACCCCTTGACCCCTATGTCTGTGAATACCCTGTCTATATACCCCTTGGCCCCTTTGTCTGTGTATATCCTATCAATATATTCCTTGACCCCTGCGTCTGTGTATATCCTGTCTATATACTCCTTGGCCCCTGTGTCTGTGTATATCCTGTCTATATATTCCTTGACCCCTGTGTCTGTGTATACCCTGTCTATATACCCCTTGACCCCTGTGTCTGTGTATACCCTGTATATATCCCTTGACCCCTGTGTCTGTGTATACCCTGTCTATATATCCCTTGACCCCTGTGTCTGTGTATACCCTGTCTATATATCCCTTGACCCCTGTGTCTGTGTATACCCTGTCTATATATCCCTTGACCCCTGTGTCTGTGTATATCCTGTCTATATATCCCTTGACCCCTGTGTCTGTGTATACCCTGTCTATATACCCCTTGACCCCTGTGTCTGTGTATACCCTGTCTATATATCCCTTGACCCCTGTGTCTGTGTATACCCTGTCTATATATCCCTTGACCCCTGTGTCTGTGTATACCCTGTCTATATATCCCTTGACCCCTGTGTCTGTGTATACCCTGTCTATATATCCCATGACCCCTGTGTCTGTGTATAGCGTATCAATATATCCCTATACCCCTGTGTCTGTGTATACCCTGTCTATATAGCCCCCTGTGACCCCTGTGTCTGTGAATACCCTGTCTATATACCCTTGACCCCTGTGTCTGTGTATACCCTGTCTATATATCCCTTGACCCCTGTGTCTGTGTATACCTTGTCAATATATCCCTTGACCCCTGTGTCTGTGTATACCCTGTCTATATATCCCTTGACCCCTGTGTCTGTGTATACCCTGTCTATATAGCCCTTGACCCCTGTGTCTGTGTATACCCTGTCTATATATCCCTTGACCCCTGTGTCTGTGTATACCCTGTCTATATATCCCTTGACCCCTGTGTCTGTGTATACCCTATATATGTGTATACCCTGTCTATATATCCCTTGACCCCTGTGTCTGTGTATACCCTGTCTATATATCCCTTGACCCCTGTGTCTGTGTATACCCTGTCTATATATCCCTTGACCCCTGTGTCTGTGTATACCCTGTCTATATATCCCTTGACCCCTGTGTCTGTGTATACCCTGTCTATATATCCCTTGACCCCTGTGTCTGTGTATATCTTATCAATATATCCCTTTACCCCTGTGTCTGTGTATATCCTGTCTATATAGCTCTTGACCCCTGTGTCTGTGTATACCCTGTCTATATATCCCTTGGCCCCTGTGTCTGTGTATACCCTGTCTATATATCCCTTGACCCCTGTGTCTGTGTATACCCTGTCTATATAGCCCTTGACCCCTGTGTCTGTGTATACCCTGTCTATATCTTATCAATATATCCCTTTACCCCTGTGTCTGTGTATATCCTGTCTATATAGCTCTTGACCCCTGTGTCTGTGTATATCCTGTCTATATAGCTCTTGGCCCCTGTGTCTGTGTATACCCTGTCTATATACCCCTTGACCCCTGTGTCTGTGTATATCCTATCAATATATCCCTTGACCCCTGTGTCTGTGTATACCCTGTAAATATACCCCTTGGCCCCTGTGTCTGTGTATACCCTGTCTATATATCCCTTGACCCCTGTGTCTGTGTATACCCTGTCTATATAGCCCTTGACCCCTGTGTCTGTGTATACCCTGTCTATATAGCCCTTGACCCCTGTGTCTGTGTATACCCTGTCTATATAGCCCTTGACCCCTGTGTCTGTGTATACCCTGTCTATATACCCCTTGACCCCTGTGTCTGTGTATACCCTGTCTATATATCCCTTGACCCCTGTGTCTGTGTATACCCTGTCTATATATCCCTTGACCCCTATGTCTGTGTATACCCTGTCAATATATCCCTTGACCCCTGCGTCTGTGTATACCCTGTCTATATATCCCTTGACCCCTGTGTCTGTGTATACCCTGTCTATATATCCCTTGACCCCTGTGTCTGTGTATACCCTGTCTATATACTCCTTGACCCCTGTGTCTATGTATACCCTGTCTATATATCTCTTGACCCTTGCGTCTGTGTCAGAATTTACAATGTACATCTAGATTATGCATCATCAGACCCCCCAATTAAAGAGATTTACAATGTCGACATATACCCATGCGATATTATCAAAATTAATCAAATAAATTTTCCTATTTTTTCTCAATGTGTTAAAATGATATTTGATATATGATATGAATACATATTTCTGATAACCTGATAAGTACACTAAGATAGACACAAGTCTGCTATTTCCTTGTTACTTACTTTTTGATAATTATACACTACAGCTGCCAGAAGTAATGAGAAAGGAAGGAAGAGTGAAGTCCCTTGAATGAACTCTTGATCAAATGATTTTCTCTGGAAAGAAAATAGAAAATTGTAAAAACATGAACATTTTCTACCCGTTTCCGCTGACATAAATTACTATCTGTCCTTTGTGAGGGGGGAGATCCCCCTATCAGTATAGATCTAGTTAGGACAGCATTCTGAAATATTCATTTATTCATATTGATGTTGTTGTTCAAATTGAACTTTTCTGTTTCTTAAAAATTCCACTTTTGTGGTTTTGAAAGCATTAGAAGACATACCAAAATAAGCCAATAAAACTGTAAAATGGAAGATGGTATTTATATACTGAGGAAGCCACTGATAAATATCTACACATCTCTTGTGACTTTTATACCTGCCAAGCATTAATTTATCAGTATTATCATCATGTAAGTAAGATATACGACTTTTGTACATTCATATTACTGGTTAAGAATTGAATAATATTTACTATATACAAATTATAAATATTTGCTGTCAGGAAACATTTGCCAACAGTACTGATGAAAAGAACAGAAAACTTCGGCAAAAATGACCAGGTAAAGATTACTATTTTTGATTGCTATTTTTGTAACTTACAATAGGGCTAAATTTGATACTGTGGTGTTGATATGACGTATTGGCCACAAAGTGGACAACTGGAAGAGTAAAGTCAAAGGAGGCTTTGGACAGGGAACTCTCCAACTTAAGGGTGTATGGCTGAAACAAAATAACAAAAATTCATTTACTTGGTAACAAAGATCTTTCTATGACTGATATTTAATATTTCAATAGGTTTCATGTGCTGAGTACTTTTAAACAGATTCACTTACAGTGAAAATATAGACAAACTGAACAAGTATTAAAATGCAAGTATCAGTGTATTTTTATCAAGAACATTATTTATTATAGTATTATTATAGTGTAGAGTTTTTCCACTCCTTAGATTAAATTGAGAACAAAGCTACAATTTTCAAATACACAAGAACACAAAGAAAGTATATACAGACCTCATTGTCAATCGACAGGGAGGGTAGAAAGAAGAATGTCACCGTGCCTAGACTGACAGTATGAATCGGTGAATCAGGAGTCTCATCTCGGAATAGTTTTACCTGTGTAACATCAACGTCTATACATAACAAACATCTTAGTACCCCAGAACATGAAAGATATTTGAGGTGTGTGTGTGTATAGAACTTTCCATTCTGTTTTCAATAAAACTAGTTTCACAACCAGTGTAACAGGATTTATTTATTTGAATACTCTAATTCCAATTAACAGTAATTTCAGCTACTTAACAAATCTGTTTCAGTTACTTAATAAATCTGTTTCAGTTACTTAATAAATCTGTTTCAGTTACTTAATAAATCTGTTTCAGTTACTTAATAAATCTGTTTCAGTTACTTAATAAATCTGTTTCAGTTACTTAATAAATCTGTTTCAGTTACTTAACAAATCTGTTTCAGTTACTTAACAAATCTGTTTCAGTTACTTAATAAATCTGTTTCAGTTACTTAACAAATCTGTTTCAGTTACTTAATAAATCTGTTTCAGTTACTTAATAAATCTGTTTCAGTTACTTAACAAATCTGTTTCAGTTACTTAACAAATCTGTTTCAGTTACTTAACAAATCTGTTTCAGTTACTTAACAAATCTGTTTCAGTTACTTAATAAATCTGTTTCAGTTACTTAACAAATCTGTTTCAGTTACTTAACAAATCTGTTTCAGCTACTTAACAAATCTGTTTCAGTTACTTAACAAATCTGTTTCAGCTACTTAACAAATCTGTTTCAGCTACTTAACAAATCTGTTTCAGTTACTTACACAAATCTGTTCCAGTTACTTAACAAATCTGTTTCAGTTACTTAACAAATCTGTTTCAGTTACTTAACAAATCTGTTTCAGTTACTTAATAAATCTGTTTCAGTTACTTAATAAATCTGTTTCAGCTACTTAACAAATCTGTTTCAGTTACTTAACAAATCTGTTTCAGTTACTTAACAAATCTGTTTCAGTTACTTAACAAATCTGTTTCAGTTACTTAACAAATCTGTTTCAGTTACTTAATAAATCTGTTTCAGTTACTTACACAAATCTGTTTCAGTTACTTAATAAATCTGTTTCAGTTACTTAACAAATCTGTTTCAGTTACTTAATAAATCTGTTTCAGTTACTTAACAAATCTGTTTCAGTTACTTAATAAATCTGTTTCAGTTACTTAATAAATCTGTTTCAGTTCCAGTTACTTAATAAATCTGTTTCAGTTACTTAACAAATCTGTTTCAGTTACTTAACAAATCTGTTTCAGTTACTTAACAAATCTGTTTCAGTTACTTAACAAATCTGTTTCAGTTACTTAACAAATCTGTTTCAGTTACTTAACAAATCTGTTTCAGTTACTTAACAAATCTGTTTAACAAATCTGTTTCAGTTACTTAACAAATCTGTTTCAGTTACTTAACAAATCTGTTTCAGTTACTTAACAAATCTGTTTCAGTTACTTAACAAATCTGTTTCAGTTACTTAACAAATCTGTTTCAGTTACTTAACAAATCTGTTTCAGTTACTTAACAAATCTGTGTGTATTGCCATAAGTTACCTATTTCAAACCAAACAATTTAACATTAATTCATTAAGATTTACTTCTAAACAGTGCCAAACACTTTTAAGGAAAACAACAAACAAATCATTCGCTGAAATGTGGGAAAAAACTGGTGTAAGGAAGGATACTAGAACTGAAATGCTAATGACGGGTAGAGTAGTATCCTTTGTTGATACCTTAAGACTGGGCAGGTACTCCTCCTGTGTGATGACATTGCCACTGATGTCCATCTGGTTCACACGACGGAACGCAATGATGGACACATCATTAAAGTCACTGTCCTTCACCTGAAAACAAGAAAAAAGCTTATTGACTTAAATTATTCTGGTATAATTCACATTATAAACCTGAATGTGGAGGTGGGCTATTAAGAGTGCTAATTCACATTAAATATCTTAAATATGGAGGTGGGCTATTAAGAGTGCTAATTCACATTAAATATCTTAAATATGGAGGTGGGCTATTAAGAGTGCTAATTCACATTAAATATCTTAAATATGGAGGTGGGCTATTAAGAGTGCTAATTCACATTAAATATCTTAAATATGGAGGTGGGCTATTAAGAGTGCTTAAATATGGAGGTGGGCTATTAAGAGTGCTAATTCACATTAAATATCTTAAATGTGGAGGTGGGCTATTAAGAGTGCTAATTCACATTAAATATCTTAAATATGGAGGTGGGCTATTAAGAGTGCTAATTCACATTAAATATCTTAAATATGGAGGTGGGCTATTAAGAGTGCTAATTCACATTAAATATCTTAAATATGGAGGTGGGCTATTAAGAGTGCTAATTCACATTAAATATCTTAAATGTGGAGGTAGGCTATTAAGAGTGCTAATTCACATTAAATATCTTAAATATGGAGGTGGGTCATTTAGAGTGGTACATATAAGTTTATATATCATGTTTCATAATTGTTGACAGATAAATTAAACTTCATGGTTTACACAATATATCTAAGACTAATGGGTATATATGACAGAAAGACATTATGATCAATAGTTTTCTTATAACATTGAATTAGAAGCGACTGCAAAACCAGCGAATTATCATGAATCTTCTACCGTGATCTCCTGTGATTTTGGTGCAGCTCTCTCAATGTGTCTGTTAACATCATTTTTCAGGTGAATGCTGTAGGTACAATTTGGCTGAAATGAAGAAAAACACATATATGAATATTTCAGGAAAAAGTGCTTCTTGTGATCTACTAATACCAAACACAGGACATAGTAATTTGAGACAGGTGAAAACCATCCTTGACATGTTGAAGTATAGCTATTGGTTTATCTTTAATACTGACATACAAAACCAAAACAAAAAAATTTGAATTACTATTTATGACCCCTGAACTTGTGAACTTCTTACTGAGCCAGTAGTATCCTGTATGACCTCTATGTATGACATACCTTTATTATCCTGTATGACCTCTATGTATGACATACCTTTATTATCCTGTATGACCTCTATGTATGACATACCTTTATTATCCTGTATGACCTCTATGTATGACATACCTTTAGAATCCTGTATGACCTCTATGTATGACATACCTTTAGTATCCTGTATGACCTCTATGTATGACATACCTTTAGTATCCTGTATGACCTCTGTGTATGACATACCTTTAGTACCCTGTATGACCTCTATGTATGACATACCTTTGGTACTCTGTATGACCTATATGTATGACATACCTTTTGTATCCTGTATGATCTCTGTATGACCTCTGTGTATGACTTACCTTTAGTATCCTGTATGACTATGTATGACATACCTGCAGTCCCCGTATCCGGTATGACCCATCAGGCTCAGTCTTACTCTCCTCCTGGAACATCCCACATGTATCAGTGCCTACAGCCTCTACAATGATTCCCTGTTCTGGTTCTCCATTCAAGGATGTCACTGAACCATAGCAACTGCAAAAAAATGAAGTTACCATAGCAACTGTCATATAAAGATTGCCACAACTATTGTAAATACTACAGTTATCATAGCAACTGTTAAGTAAAGATAACAAGTTATTGTAGAAATAAAGTTAATCAACAAAGTTTACCATCAATACTGGCAATACAGGTTGTCAAATTCTTGTCAAACGCAACAAAATGACAAATATTCCCCAATATTCTATCTTAGTAAAAATAACATAACAACTGACGAAAAGTAAAATGTTTCTTGTAAGAAGAAATCAAGATTCATACAAAATCTAGGGTATCTGTCTAAAACCAGTACATTAAATAAGTACAAAACTGATTTTTTGTCTACTTTGTGTGTGATGGAAAGAGTGTCCAACTGACCTATAATATTTCCGCAATATTTAGAGACTATGTCATTTTCACCTTACCTATAAGCCACGCGGAGCCCCTTGATGGTGATTTTCTTTGTTGTACCTTCCATCACCTCAATAGTTTGAGAGGAAGGATCAAACTTGTACTCTTTCATCATTGGTCGCAGGAAGTACTCTCCAGGACTCTACACACAGTAAGAGATATCATTTTACTAGTTCTATTCAAGTACTTTAAGGTTCAGACACTAATGTATATGGAACAGAAGTATCACAAGAAAAAAAGCTGTGCAATTTAAGGAAATCACATAACAGTAGATTTGTATAATCAGGATGATCAAACACATCATATCTCTTGTATCATTCATTACATAGTTTATGTAGGGTTGGCAACATAAGATATTAAAACTCAATAATCTTGAAATAAAACGTTATCTTACCAGTCCAATGAAGTTGATGGTACCATTGTCACTGGTCACGTTGTTACTGCGATATTGCTTCTCCCCACTCAGTGATAGCAGCACATTGGACAGGGGCTGGTCTTTTTCGTCCAGAACCTTTATACAACAACACAATTTCAATCCTCTGATTTTAACATGACAAAAAAATCCAATTTAAGACTGATAGTTTCATCCGAATGAAAACTTAACATCAAGATGTAAAGACAATAATTTGGTTTAAAAAAAACTAAGCTTAATGAATACTATTTCTGGTCTGTGGTGAATTCATCGAACAAAGACAGCCATTTACCTTTTGTATATATAATGAAGAGCAGGTGCGAGAGTAATGACCGATAAATTGACCCTAAGATACGTGTACAACCACAGTTTCTATATCTTTTTCTACGCTTTGTTGGTTTCTTTGGAAAGTTTTTAAACAAAAAGTAAAGCTTCATATTATTGATTTCATTTATTTTGTATTCCATGACAACAATTGTGATTATGTTCTAAACTTTAATCAAAGGATCATTGTAATATCAATATTTGTTTCTTAGAACGATTCACATTCTTTTTCAAATGTTGATACCATATTCATCTTTTATCTGTGATAAAATCACAGAAAAGAGTTCTTAAGTAAAGCTCTTTCTGTTAATATTATTGATCTTTTGTTAATGAAGTTCCTCAGGGAGAACAATGCAGAACAGTATCAGCCACTAATGAGATGCGATACTAGGTCTGTGACGGGATGTAAGGGGATGACAATCATACATACCTGCACAGATACCTGTCCGAGTTTGTAGGCCTTGAAGGAGGCAGTCTGTCCATCCTCCTTGACCAGTACATAACCAGTCTTCTCAGCGGACACGCTGTATTCCTTACCACTGTGTAGGGGTCCCACACTGTAAACAAGGTCAAAGGTCAAATTTATGTCATTAATTTTACTGATGCCATATCACCACAAGACAAGAAAATGTTTTTAGTGTAAGTTTCCATATTCTTAAAAGTAATTTCATATTCATGTTTTCCAACAATATGTTAATCTTAATTTTATAATGACTTGAAATTTTAGCACACCAAAACAATTTACATTTACAGTACTGAACATGATTTAAAGAAAACAGAGAATCTATTTAAATGAAATTGAAAAGAGACATTGAGGAGAAAATTCTGACTTCAACTACTTTTTAGCTCTGGCTCGAGAAAGAAAATGATTTGTCCCATTTTTGCATACTTTAATCAATAAAATAAACCATGAAATCAAACAGAACTGACAATTAGAGGATAGTAAATATATCCCTGACAGACTAATCATGCTCACCTAAATTTTCCTGACTCAGCAGTTTCTATGGCAATAGGAGCCATAGAATCATCCATAGCAATGACTGTGACACTGACCCCAGCCAGAGCTGGTTTAATCTGACCGTTAATAAAAACACCTCGCTTTCCGGTAAACTTGACCACCTCTCCAACACATGTATCTGTCAAAACAAATGCCAGCAATCAACATGTGTCTTAATTAAAAACAAAAATAAGATCAGAACAGAAAAAGTAAACCTTATACCAGATGAACAAACATTCCATAACAATGACAGCGATCACTTCAGGTTGGAAGTTCTAAAACAAAAGAAATCAACTGTAATCAACTGCAATATAAACTTCCGACTGATATCTGTCATTGGTTTTAAACAATTTACCATTTTGATCATTTTGCGATTACATTCCACACATGTCACATGAATACGGAGAAGAATGTTATCTTAATTGTTGAAAGTTTTGCAGAAACATGAAAACTTTTGAGCGTCTTTTCTTTCACAGAAACTATGAAACACACTTTGGTTTCCTGTACACATTTTATCTTCATGGTATCTATTTTTCATATTTTTATTCCCATCCTTACACAAACATGTGACAACCTTATAGCATTGCACAAGAGTCAGTACATGGGAAATAACTCACCTCCATGAACAACAACTTCTGCCTTGCTTGGACTAAACAACAGTTCCTTGGACTTGGCACTGGCCTCAAGCCTCTCTCCTGACCTGAGATAACAAACACAGAGGGTAACATTAGCAATTTTTCTATTCCTGTTTACAGGGTTTTCCATAATTTTGTTAGTAGTAGGCTGTGTAGTGAAAGTAGGAGGCTGGTCTGCTATGTATGTGTAGTCGTGTATGGAACATTCTTACGGAACTGGATTGGTGTAGGCGGTCAAATGGTCAAAGTAGCCAGTCAAATTAGCCGGCGACCGGCTCTTATGGAAAACCCTGAGTTTAATTTTGTTCTCATCATTAATGATTGTACTCCTTGATGATAACAAAAGAACTATATTTTAATTAATTTCTTTTAAACTTTGAAGACTTAATCTCAATGACATTTTGTAGTGTTTTCCTGTTCGGTTGTTAATAGGAAGAATTTTTACAATTTTTGTACATTGATTTCTTCTCACTGTTTCCTATTGATCTTGTTGGTAGACTTTATTAGGAAAACATATAACACTGTTTCCCCTTGTGTGATTTTGACTCAATGAATTTTGAAAAAAAAGCAAGTAGACCTTCAGTTTCCAACCAACTTTTTCCAACAAGGTAGACTTTGCTATGACATGAAATTGTACTTTGTCAGTGGCATTTTGGAGGGGCAGTATACTGTCATATTTCAATATTCATTGTGATAACAATGAATTATCTCTGGTAGGGAGTGGTGTATATTGTTCTGCTCTGTGTTACTCTTGCTTGGTGATCATATATACCTTGCCCAGTGTGTGAACTTGTAGACAAATGGCCCGGTCACAGGTTTAGCACCCTTGTCTGTACTTGGTGGTTTGACATCCGTGGCCAGTGGTCCAATGTTGACGACATCTTGATCCACCGTGGAGCTACAAAGAGAGGTGGAATAGTGGAATTTAAGATATCTGTGGATGTATAGTATCAATGTGGAACATCATAGATGAGCAATTAAGGGCAAAGTGGAAATCAAGAGGTCACAAAAGAAGGTCAGAGGTCACACAGGATTTATAGAGAAGATAATTGAGAAGAGGACATGTCAGAACCATCAAAATCCTAGTATAATAAGAGGTTACAATACAGGTTACAACTGACCTGTAGGGTGGTCATATTGGAAAACAATATAACTACAGATGTCATATCTAAGCTATAGAGATCAAAGGGAAACTAAGAAAATTACAGTCGATATGCTGAAGGCAATATTAAACTATACACTGTTGTGGATTTACAGATTTTAGCTTTATAACTGATGCCAGCAGAAAGTTCCACCCATACCAATCTTATTGTGGGGATTCAAGCCTCTCTTATATATAAGAAGTCCTTTCATTTTCAAAGTATAAACACATTACATCAATTCCACTGTCTTGTTTCTGAGATGAACAAAGACATTACATGTGTAATCAACAGAACGTTTATCACTGTTTTTCCATCAACATTTTACTGATTCTGGCGATGTCTTTGGCAGTACGTCTTAACTTGTAATAATATACACCATTTTACTAGTAGAACTACTGTATACTGTTTCGTAATATATGTGGGGGATTTCATTTTCACACATTTGCAAAAAAATACTGAAGTCAAATAATAAGCAAATCAAAATTGCAGTGGGTCATATACCTGTAGCTGAAACTGGGACAACAATTAAATATTTCCCCTTTGAAATTATTTTACTGTACAGTACAAGGATGGAACATTACAGATTTCTCAGACTACTTCAAGATTAAAGAAATAACAAGATGATATCAATCATACCATTTCAATTTTGAAAAAGAAAAATATATTGTGAATTTCAAATAAAAATAGTATCACTAATATTGTTTAGTGACTGGGTACTGGGTTAAAGTTTAAAGTGAAATAATGGAATTAGTCTAAATATAGACTATCATCTGATCAAGTTTGACTGCAGCCAGACATCTCTCCAGTTCCTACAAGGTTGTGGAGTCAAATTTCAACAGGCTCAATATGATGAACTCACACAACAGTGACGATGATATCTGTAGCAGGCTCCTCTGTGGTGACGCTACCCTCCATCAGGTGGCGCACTGCTGCCAGGGTAAGTAACTCTGGGTTGGACCTATAAAACAAAACAATGAAATTTGTAACTTTTTATTAGTGTAAATGTGTTGTGTGTAAATTTTCTTTTTTAAGGTCTGAGGTGATAAATGTCTTAAAAACTTACGTGTCGTATGTAAAAACATCCTTGTCAAATTGATGACAGGAGTCCGGGGTGAGACGATACACGCCAGGCTGAGCCAGACAGAATCGATTTGTACCCTTGTTTAGCTGGAACGACCCAACAGTTCCCTCCTTCTTTTCATGTGCAAAATCCTTCAAAAAAGTAAAAATGTCATTGCTGTATTTTTCAGACAGTTTAAATGTACATTAATGTGGCAAAATAACGTTTCGGTGAAAAGCTTATAATAATTTCAAGATAATGTATATTCTATGGACATTTGATTGCTTCTTCTAGTAACAGGGCACACTAGCGACAGGGAATTTTATATAAATTGCATCAAAATTATTTTTGTGTCCATTTCTTGGATGTCCAATAGTAAAAAGGTACATCAAATTATTTGCATAAAATATTATTTTCTGCTTTTGCTTTCATATCTAGAATGTATACATTTGAGCAGTACAATAATCAGTGTATCGACAAGACGACATTTACTATACACACTTAACATCAATTAACTCTCTCAAATACTGATTATTAAAGAAGTTAAATGGAAAATTCCTGTACAATGTAATGTATAATGGGATGATTTAATTCTGACTGAGATCTATCATATACAGTCTATTCTCACCAGTTTGATTTCATGAGAGATACTACATTTGAGAATGTAGCCGGTCTGTGTGAACTCGATCCCAGACAGATCAGCGCTAGCCACCTCCACATCCAGTGTCTTCTCCTTCCAACACCAGCTGTCCTGTAGCAATGTCACTGCAACAAAACGGTCTCAGTGGTACACACATATATAAGATCTTACAAGTTTTAGGAGTATTTCATTCAAGCGAGCCTTTGGCAAGCTGAAATGCCATCTGATCATGTGATAAAAATGTACTTATGACTTGTTTTAGTCTAACATCTGACTTATGATCTACCTGTCATTGTATGTACTGCCAGTGACAGACCACTGTAAGAGCATGGATTTTAAGAAATAACAAGGTTTGTTTCATTTACCTTTGTATTTTCCAGGTAAGACATTATCAAACTGGAATGTTCCTCCTCTGGTAGCTTCTTTTACCTGTGAAATAAATTTATCAGAAATGTAATATAAAGTTTTCTTAATATTGGAGAAATGAAAATACAGTACTGAAAGAATTTTCCTCTATTGAACCGTACTACTCTTGCTGACCTTGACTTTCACCTTCGTGAAGACAATTAGATTTAACCACTTTGGATATTCACATGGAGCTTTCTTGTCTTTACCTTTGTTTGACAATTCATATTTTTAACTATTACCTGTATTTGACCTGCCTAACACTTACCTGTTTTAACTGACCATTACCTGTATCTGACTTGCCTAACACTTACCTGTTTTAACTGACTATTACCTGTAGTTGACCTGCATAACATTTACCTGTTGTAACTGACTATTACCTGTATTTTGACCTGCCTAACACTTACCTGTTTTAACTGACTATTACCTGTATTTGACCTGCCTAACATTTACCTGTTTTAAATGTCTTTTACCTGTATTTTGACCTGCCTAACACTTACCTGTTTCAACTAACTATTACTTGTATTTGACTTGCCTAACACTTACCTGTTTTAACTTCCTATTACCTGTATCTGACCTGCCTAACACTTACCTGTTTTAACTGTCTATTACCTGTATCTGACCTGCCTAACACTTACCTGTTTTAACTGACTATTACTTGTATTTGGCCTGCCTAACATTTACCTGTTTTAACTATTACCTGTATATAACCTGCGTAACACTTACCTGTTTTAACTAACTATTACTTGTATTTGGCCTGCCTAACACTTACCTGTTTTAACTGACTATTACCTGTATTTGACCTGCGTAACACTTACCTGTTTTAACTGACTATTACCTGTATTTGACTTGCCTGACACTTACCTGTTTTAACTGACTATTACCTGTATTTGACCTGTGTAACACTTACCTGTTTTAACTGACTATTACCTGTATTTGACCTGCGTAACACTTACCTGTTTTAAATGACTATTACCTGTATTTGACTTGCCTAACACTTACCTGTTTTAACTGACTATTACCTGTATTTGACCTGCGTAACACTTACCTGTTTTAACTGACTATTACCTGTATTTGACTTGCCTGACACTTACCTGTTTTAACTGACTATTACCTGTATTTGACCTGTGTAACACTTACCTGTTTTAACTGACTATTACCTGTATTTGACCTGCGTAACACTTACCTGTTTTAAATGACTATTACCTGTATTTGACTTGCCTAACACTTACCTGTTTTAACTGACTATTACCTGTATTTGACCTGCATAACATTTACCTGTTTTAACTGACTATTACCTGTATTTGACCTGCCTAACACTTACCTGTTTTAACTAACTATTACTTGTATTTGGCCTGCCTAACACTTACCTGTTTTAACTGACTATTACCTGTATATAACCTGCGTAACACTTACCTGTTTTAACTAACTATTACTTGTATTTGGCCTGCCTAACACTTACCTGTTTTAACTAACTATTACTTGTATTTGACTTGCCTAATACTTACCTGTTTTAACTAACTATTACTTGTATTTGGCCTGCCTAACATTTACCTGTTTTAACTATTACCTGTATATAACCTGCGTAACACTTACCTGTTTTAACTAACTATTACTTGTATTTGGCCTGCCTAACACTTACCTGTTTTAACTAACTATTACTTGTATTTGACTTGCCTAACACTTACCTGTTTTAACTGACTATTACCTGTATTTGACCTGCGTAACACTTACCTGTTTTAACTAACTATTACTTGTATTTGACTTGCCTAACACTTACCTGTTTTAACTGACTATTACCTGTATTTGACCTTACCTGTTTGACTTTTTTGACATTTACCTTTATTTGAGTTTCACTGATCTACTATCTCATATTTGACATGTCTTCCCTTCAGATTACCTGTGTTTGACCTGTCTGACCTTTACCAGAATTGACCTTGTTTCCCATGAACCAAAGTTTAACTTTTTCAGACTTAAATGATTTTACCTTACCAGTGATGACCTTGTAACTTTTACCAATGTTCGACCTCTGTGACCTTTACCATAGTTTGATTTTTACAAGCTTTACTAGTATTGACCTCTGAAACCTTTACTAGCATTGACCTCTGTGACCTTTACAATAGTTAAACTTTTACATCCTTTACTAGTATTGACCTCTGAAACCTTTACTAGCATTGACCTCTGTGACCTTTACCTGTGTTAAACCTGTATGACTCTGACTAGTATCTAACTCTGGCCGTTATCACTTAACCTTTCTTTGACCTGCCTGAACTTTACCTGTGTTATCTGCTTCACTTCACCACGTCGGTCACTTTCTAAAGAAATTTCCACGGGGCCACACTTTTCTGAAAACAAAGACATCATTCTATCATTGTATGTTAACAGCTGAACAAATTAATGTAACTTTTTTATTTAACAGCACTTTTTACAGTTAAGAAGCTACAGCTTGATTATGAATATTACTACTACCTAGCGAATAATGGCTATGGTTTAATCAAGTATTGGTACACATATAACCATTGTAAGAACAACGAAAACCTGTAAGTATCATTGATGACATCTGGTTATTTGCATGATGATTCATCAATCTGATTGCATTTCTAAACATGAACTAATGGTTATTTTGTCTGTCTTTACGGTTTTGACTTCTGAAGTTTGTGTATGACCTTGACCTTACCTAAACATATCACGGTACCAGTGACCTTCGCTTGGAACTGTGAGAAGATGACATCCATTACTGGTTTGTCTGTGATAGTGACAGTCTTTTCACTTGGGACAATGGATAGACCAGCTGTTTTCTCTTCTTCAGTCAAGTGCACCTACAATATATAAAGATATGTATTAGGAGATTTGAGAGATATGTGTTGATGAAGGCAATGGGAAAATTGTCATCAGCATGATCTCATTAGAACACATTATGTCTCCTTGTGTAATATGTATATTACTGTGAAATCATTCATTTTCATGGGGATTTATTTTCAGGGATTTCATAGATAATCTTAACTGAATTCATTTACCCATACACTGTTAAAGGTAATGTAAGACAATTCATTGAGCTGTGTCTACAAAATAGTCATTTTTTGAAAAATAAAAAAACTTAAGCTCCATAAATAGACGTAATTTTAACGTAGATGTTTTTTATTCTAGTTAGCATTTTTAGTGGTTTTGTTGTTTATTTTATTCTCATTTATCAGTCCAACATAAATACCAACAAATGCACTTACATTGGTGATACAAGTTAATTTGTACTAAAGCCCACTTGGCTTATTAAAGAATAGATATGATATTTACCTGTACAACATGGCTGCCAGGTTTGACCTTGGCACAAAAGTTTCCATCCACATCGGCCTTAGCAGAGGAAGCATCCATGTTTTTGTTTTGTGGGATGATAATGATTCGTCGGTGACTGGCAACCTGTCTCAGAGAATCTGGGAGCTGGCTGATCACAATCTTGCCACACATCTTAAAACTGTAACAACATAGTCTGGCTCAGAATGGTATTCTTACATAATTATAGTATTAAACAGAAAATACTTGTGAAATTTTCTGCAGTTTTACAAGTAACAAGCAAGTTTCTGACAAAGTATGCATTTGATATTCTTTGTCTCATTGTGTAATAAGTGTTCAGTCGAGTTGTACGTGTCAAACATTAATGTAATATCTTGTTAGTGACATCTCTCTTATATTGTTTAGTATTTATTGATAGTTAAAAAAGATGATCAAATAAAGGAGATGTTAAATGCTTTCTGGTTTATGTTTCTTTATAAAGAATCTGAGATGTGTTCATGGTTGATAAACCAAAGTTGTTTAAAGTGCCTACTTGTCAACTCTACTTTTCAAAAGAGGGAGAAATATTCTATTTGACAAATTGGTGGTAAAATAATAAAACTGTGTATCTACTTAAAGTTTACAGTGAAAGAAGATCTCATCCGATGACGAAAGAACCATGGTCCTTCATGGTCATCTTGACATGTTTCAAGCAAATTGACTGGAATTAATTTGGGCATTGGAGACCTGTCCTTTCGGGTCGAATCACATTTATGTATTTAAGACGGGTTGTTTTTCCTTAGTGTTGTTCAAACTTACTCTGAGGCCACAATGTCTGGGAGATTCGGAGTGTTGGGTGTAATTTTGACACTGACATCATCAAAGTAGATGTTATCGGTCTGGATCTGGAGACGGTAGGTCCCTGTCTTCATGTTCTCTAGATGGTACATTCCATCAGCTTCTGTCCGTGACACTGCTTTCCCGTCCACCAGCACTGATGCACCTGACACACCTGCACCCTAAAGGTCAAGGTCGAGTTATGATCAATGAAGAAGGATGAATACATACTTAAGTATCTGTCAATTTATGTCTGATGTCAAATTACATAGTATAATAATTGACATTAATATTACCTGCCAATGTATCCAGTTTTGTTATGAAAATGTACACCAAATGGATATGCCAATGCATGAATAGCATCTTTAAAGTTACAGTTAAACCTGTTTATAAAGGGAGAATAGTGGTCTTTATACACAGGTGGCCTTTATATTAAGATCCAGTTACAATGAATTGCTTTCTATAGGGAATCAAAAAGTGGCCTTTATAAACAGGTGGCCTTTGTAAACAGTAGCCATTAAGACAGATTTGACAGTAATTTATATCATATTAACACACATTTCTAACAGTAATATCTATCGTGAAAAAAGAAACCTTTACCACTACGCTGCTGAGTATATCACACTAGTGATGCATAAACAAAAATATTACATGGGAGAATTCACAGGAAAGTAGGCAGATTATGTGATAAACTATGTAAACTACCTCTTCTTATGATTAAAATGATGTTTACAAATTCATCATGAAATGATTATTACCTAGTAACTTGAGGAATAAGAACATTATGTATCAGTAGTAGTATTACCTGGCTTAGATTTAGCAACATAAACTTTAATTTAGTAACACAAACTTTAATTATAGTAGCATAAACTGACTCATTTTTAGTAACATGACATCACTTATTTACACAATAATAAAATATCACTTTTTTTTTTAACAGAAATTAACAATTACATTTTTATATAAAGCAGGATTTTTTGTTATCAAACATCTGGGAAATCAAATTATTTAAGTGACATAAATATTTACCGAGCAATGATAATTGCCAGTAACTTTGGTAACTGTCTCATATTGATGACATTGTGAGTCTCCTAAAAGTTAAATACAGTAGCTACAAGAATGATATGAAATTATCTCAAACAATGTGTGTGAGACTTACCCCTGCTTTGTTAAGGACTCGACCACTGACAGAGAAGCCCTCCACTTGGAATATATCCTAAAACACAACACAATCTTACTGTAAGTTTTCATCAATGTTAGTATCACATGGAAAAATGTCTAGGGTTTTTGTTTACAGACCTCAATATAATTTATTAAGGAGAGTCTAAAGATTTGTCATTTCACCTAATTGGACCTTAGACAGTACAGGGTCATCCGTCTGACCACATGTGTAGTCTAGGGACTCTGGCTTCCTCCCACAATAACAATTTTATTTCTTATTTTCTGAAATGAGTTATTGACACAACTTGGATAAAGACAGTTTCAAACACGGTATTTATGGTATAATCACCATGTACATACTATCGGGTATAAGTAGGCATGAACTTGGGTGATTTTGCCACTGACCTTGAGAGTGACTGGTCCATGTTGGACCTGTATGTCCAGTCTCCCTGGTAAAACATCAAATCTGATGTGTTCTCCTTTGTAGAATGGAACCTGTCAAAATAAGAAAGATATCATTATGAATTGAAAGCAAAGCTAGTACATATACAAGATATCAACACATCTATAACAAACTTAATGTAATCTTTATAGCAGATTTACAATGATTTCTAAAACATTTTCAAGCCTTGCTTCCAGTAGTTTAAGACTTTGTATCAGATTTCATGATTTACCTGGTATATCACATACTGCTTACAGGAGAACAGCATTACTGATAATACATACTAATATATCTAGGTTTTTCATGCATTATGCAATGCTAAATGTGTTATAAGCTAATAAAACCCTTATGTTTAAGAGGTACATAACTTTGCCCAGGCTACCCAGGTACAACTATATAACTATAGTGTAAGGTAATATAACTGTGCCCAGGCTACCCAGGTACAACTATATAACTATAGTGTAAGGTAATATAACTTTGCCCAGGCTACCCAGGTACAACTATATAACTATAGTGTAAGGTAATATAACTGTGCCCAGGCTACCCAGGTACAACTATATAACTATAGTGTAAGGTAATATAACTTTGCCCAGGCTACCCAGGTACAACTATATAACTATAGTGTAAGGTACATAACTGTGCCCAGGCTACCCAGGTACAACTATATAACTATAGTGTAAGGTAATATAACTGTGCCCAGGCTACCCAGGTACAACTATATAACTGTAGTGTAAGGTACATAACTGTGCCCAGGCTACCCAGGTACAACTATATAACTATAGTGTAAGGTAATATAACTGTGCCCAGGCTACCCAGGTACAACTATATAACTATACTGTAAGGTACATAACTGTGCCCAGGCTACCCAGGTACAACTATATAACTATAGTGTAAGGTAATATAACTGTGCCCAGGCTACCCAGGTACAACTATATAACTATACTGTAAGGTACATAACTGTGCCCAGGCTACCCAGGTACAACTATATAACTATAGTGTAAGGTAATATAACTTTGCCCAGGCTACCCAGGTACAACTATATAACTATAGTGTAAGGTACATAACTGTGCCCAGGCTACCCAGGTACAACTATATAACTATACTGTAAGGTACATAACTGTGCCCAGGCTACCCAGGTACAACTATATAACTATACTGTAAGGTACATAACTGTGCCCAGGCTACCCAGGTACAACTATATAACTATAGTGTAAGGTAATATAACTTTGCCCAGGCTACCCAGGTACAACTATATAACTATAGTGTAAGGTAATATAACTGTGCCCAGGCTACCCAGGTACAACTATATAACTATACTGTAAGGTACATAACTGTGCCCAGGCTACCCAGGTACAACTATATAACTATAGTGTAAGGTAATATAACTTTGCCCAGGCTACCCAGGTACAACTATATAACTATAGTGTAAGGTAATATAACTGTGCCCAGGCTACCCAGGTACAACAATATAACAATAGTGTAAGGTAATATAACTGTGCCCAGGCTACCCAGGTACAACTATATAACTATAGTGTAAGGTAATATAATTGTGCCCAGGCTACCCAGGTACAACTATATAACTATAGTGTAAGGTAATATAACTGTGCCCAGGCTACCCAGGTACAACTATATAACTATACTGTAAGGTACATAACTGTGCCCAGGCTACCCAGGTACAACTATATAACTATAGTGTAAGGTAATATAACTTTGCCCATGCTACCCAGGTACAACTATATAACTATAGTGTAAGGTAATATAACTGTGCCCAGGCTACCCAGGTACAACAATATAACAATAGTGTAAGGTAATATAACTGTGCCCAGGCTACCCAGGTACAACTATATAACTATAGTGTAAGGTAATATAATTGTGCCCAGGCTACCCAGGTACAACTATATAACTATAGTGTAAGGTAATATAACTGTGCCCAGGCTACCCAGGTACAACTATATAACAATAGTGTAAGGTAATATAACTGTGCCCAGGCTACCCAGGTACAACTATATAACTATAGTGTAAGGTAATATAATTGTGCCCAGGCTACCCAGGTACAACTATATAACTATAGTGTAAGGTAATATAACTGTGCCCAGGCTACCCAGGTACAACTATATAACTATACTGTAAGGTACATAACTGTGCCCAGGCTACCCAGGTACAACTATATAACTATAGTGTAAGGTAATATAACTTTGCCCATGCTACCCAGGTACAACTATATAACTATAGTGTAAGGTAATATAACTGTGCCCAGGCTACCCAGGTACAACAATATAACAATAGTGTAAGGTAATATAACTGTGCCCAGGCTACCCAGGTACAACTATATAACTATAGTGTAAGGTAATATAATTGTGCCCAGGCTACCCAGGTACAACTATATAACTATAGTGTAAGGTAATATAACTGTGCCCAGGCTACCCAGGTACAACTATATAACAATAGTGTAAGGTAATATAACTGTGCCCAGGCTACCCAGGTACAACTATATAACTATAGCGTAAGGTAATATAACTGTGCCCAGGCTACCCAGGTACAACTATACAACTATAGTGTAAGGTACATAACTGTGCCCAGGCTACCCAGGTACAAATATATAACTATAGTGTAAGGTACATAACTGTGCCCAGGCTACCCAGGTACAAATATATAACTATAGTGAAAGGTAATATAACTGTGCCCAGGCTACCCAGGTACAACAATATAACTATAGTGTATGGTAATATATCTGTGCCCAGGCTACCCAGGTACAACAATATAACTATAGTGTAAGGTACATAACTGTGCCCAGGCTACCCAGGTACAACAATATAACTATAGTGTAAGGTATATAACTGTGCCCAGGCTACCCAGGTACAACTATATAACTATAGTGTAAGGTACATAACTGTGCCCAGGCTACCCAGGTACAACTATATAACTATAGTGTAAGGTAAAAACAATGAAGAAATACTACAGCCTGGCTAATGTAGAGCACATACAATGTAGAAATTCCCAACAGGTAGTGCTGGAAAGGTGAAACTCCCGTCGGCTTTGGATGATATGTAACAGAGAGGCGAATTGTTGTCAGTTGTGGTGAATCCTTTTAGGGGCCCCTTCTCACATCCACTGATGTCCTACAGAACATAAAATCATAAGTAGACATTGTTTTGTTGGAAATGAGCTTAAAAATATGGTTTGAAACTTTACTAAAAATAGATTGCATTAGTAGCCATATTTCTTTGTAAGACAAGGGTTTGGGTAATCAATACATTTTTCAAAATATGAAATAAATGTCAAGAATGGTATATATATATATATATATATGATAATTTGTGATTAAGTCTTTTACGAGATAAGTTTACAATAATAACAGTGATATTTACTATGGTACATGATGTTGAATTATTATGGTCAATGTTTATACAAACTTGAGATTAGGCCTTCACTGTTTTATTACAATACAGCAAAAACTAATTGGACAACAAAATGCTTATCTTTACATTACAGGCCAACATTAGGTTGCTTTTAAAGGACTTACCTCTTTCTTAAAACTGGAGGAAAACAGAACAAAGTTAACTCCCTTGATTGGTTCTCCCTCACTCTGAACCGCTCCCTGTAAGTAAAGATAAAGGAATCCCTCTATTTGAAATGAAGTTTTTCCCGTGAAAAATCTAGACTGTTAAAAATTGCAGTGAAAAACTTTATAATTAATTTTATTTCTTAATTTCAACAAATTTTATTGTAAAATTGAAAAACTCTATAATGTACCATGATCCCTCCCCCCCCACCCCCTCCATCCATTCTTCTTTAGGTTTTTACCATTCACTGGTAAATCGGTATAATATATTGATATGTCATTCAGCCTATGTCTAGTAATTAGCCCATTTATATCAAATGTCCTGTAATAAGCCCTGACTTTGAGTCCAGAGATAAAAACGTGAATCCTCGATCTTAATGAAGGAGAATCGTGGTAATCAACTAGTTTATTTTTCTTGTAAGAGTAAGATTTAGTGAAAATTTTACCTAATATTTTCACGACAAACTATCTTATAATTAATCTATGAACATAAATGACCACAAAATATGCTGCAGTAACTATCTCCACCACATACAGACTTACCTTTACTTTATATCCAGCTATCACAATACTGTTACCAGTGTTGGCATTGTCATTGGTAACAGTCACTTTAGCATCAGCCTGACAAACAGAATATTGGTTATTTGATTTCAATGTGAAAATTGAGTTGGACTTCTTCTTACAATCAGCAGATTTTGATAACAAATTATGTACACATGTATGTAGGTATTCATATAGAGTATAATTTATAGTTCACAAATTCATTTGATACTTCATAATATGATAGACAGTCATGTAACACTAACCTGTAGGAAGCTGAAGTTTTCAGACTGTGTTGCTTTCACTTCATACTCTCCTGGTAACACCCCAGCAAATGTATACCTGTAATTAATAGCAAATATCTGATATATTTCTCTAATGTTAACTAATGGATTTCATCTTGATAAAATAATCATTTTTTAGGCAAATGTTTTTACATCAAACATAATATGTCACTAAAACGATACTGATTAAAATGTTAACGACAGTTCAATGAACAAATCATTTTTGATATTTGATAGTAACATCCGTGTTTAATTTCAAGGAGTTTTTTGTTAAACAAGAGACCCAAAGAGCCTGTATCACTCACATGGATCTTTATGTCCTTCAGGCCAGGAAAGCTAAAATATGACTGCAACAGCCACAGATTGATAATATGAAGTTTGTCTAAAAATATCATTGAATATCAGGTGCAAAGAACCTACTTTCCATCCTCTGCAGTAACAGCTGTCCGAAGTGTTTCGGTGGACCCCTGCTTTCTCAAAATAACATTGATCCCAGTAGGTCCATTGTCCTGACCCTTACTCACAACCTAACAATGTAAACCAAACCGCTGAAAATTCTTTCTTCACACAATCATTATGGAGTCATCAAGTTTGGCTTGTTGGATTGTCTTAACATTAGTGACTCAAAAAAAACGAAAAAAAAAGCGAGATAAATAACGCAAATAGTCAATATGTAAAGCAAAAGTAATATAGAATTATACAGATGTTTACTGGTCAAGAGGCAATCTATTACTGGTACACAATGACAAAATATTAATTCAGAAAGATGTACACATAAACAGTGAAACTTCTCTCCAAACCGACCATGTATGGGACATGAATATATGGCTGGTTTAGAGAGGGCTCGGTTTGTAAGAGTCAAGCAAGATGACTGGTCCTGACTCAGGGAGAATTGAACCGATTCCATTCTGTACATAACATTAACATTCCATTTGCTTTCAGCATTTTTTACTGCACATGTTCAACTAAAGTCAGAAAACACTTTATAGAAAAAAGACATTTCAGTAAAATGAAAGATTACAAATGTCACCACAGGTGTTGATTTCATGGTTTACTGGTCAGATCTAGGGTCTTATTGCTCAGGTAAGACTGGTTTTCAGAAGTTATTTTCAGCATATTTCAATCGTTCAAGACACAAATTCAGTTCATTACTATAATAAAGAAGATGTCTTTCCATACATAGCCATTTCGTTCGATTTCAGGAGGTAATTGGTTTTGAGAAGGATTGGTTTGGGTAAGTTGCACTGTGCATGTATTTACAGAAGCAAGGAATAATGAAATATAAGGTTAGTAAGCCTGAAAGATAGAAATACATGAAGATGGTATGTGTTGAAAGTTAATGCTCTCTTTTATAAACTATATACCTTTCCAGTGATAGAAAAGCCGGTAAAGCGAAAGTTGATGTCCTCACCCAGACTGCAGTGATCAGTGCTGCCATCTACTTTCAGTGGCACACTTTCAGGTTCTGTAATGATCAAATAAATTTAATACATTTTTTGGGGTGTTCAATAATGTTAATTAGGATTTGTGTCCATACAGATTTTACTTTGATTCTAGTATCACTTTTCCCCCTTTCTGAGAATTTAAATGAAGAGAGTAAATTTAACATTATCTTTCTTGTGACTACTGTTTAAATCTTGTTTACAGCTATATCACAATATTGTTTGGAATGAAGTGATAAAATTCTGAGAGATCAGATCATGCAAGGAGAACCAACCATATGCCAGATTAATGAATTTTGATACTCTAGTTGTATATTTAAATATAATATATGTGGTAGTACATAGATTTGTTATCATAGTTAAATATTAATTACCAAAACTCCATCCTGCTGGTGGCTCCACCTTGAGGACAAAGTCTCCCTTCTCGTACAGAGGTATGAGGTAGTATCCTGTGTTTGGGGCACAGTCTGTTTGATACTTTATGCTGCCATGAGGTGTGTACAGTTTTACCTGAAACATTGCAGTAATATATAATTCTATATATTCTACTTTTACAGATAAATTATGAATGATTCTTATATTGGTTATAAACCAACTGCAAGTTCAATTTTGGAAATTTGATATAGGCATTCCATAAAACTTTGTATCTTTACCAAACTCAATGACTATACTAGAACTACTGAAAACAAAAAATAATATGAACAATGACTTTTTAATGTTACAGTGTCTTAATGAAAGCTCATACATCTGTTAGATGTAATACATGTAATTACTCTTCAGAGCTTTGTTCCATATTTGATCAGTTTCTTGTACAGGTATGATAATAGTTTGGAGGTTGCTTTCTTCATTTTTCAGTCATTCTATAGACCAGAATATCAGCCGCACAGCTGGTTTTTAGCATTTTTTTTTTTTCAATTTGATCTACATATAAAACTATATGGTAACTGTTATGTTGACCAAGGTTTGTTGATATAACAGACAACGGAAGGCAATTTATCAAGAATGGCAGGGAAACATTTAATAAAGTTTGCAAATGAATTATACACAGATAGGCCTTTATTTCATTGATGTGTTTGAAAAACCTAAAATAGTAATTATCAAACTTGTTTGGCTTGGGAGTCTTCAAAGATTGTTTGCGCACAGATATAGGGCCTGATGTTCTGTACGATTAACTTTACAATATCTCCATCGGTGTCTGTACTGTTAGGTAATAGCAAAGGCCCTTGCATGCTGACAATATTCTTATTGTCCCGTATTATTTCTTGTAAGTTACACAAAGGCATTTTGAATTTGACCCAATGACCTATTTTATTTCAATCTTAAAACCATCCTGTATATGCATGCAAATGATGGTTCTATATGATCTATTTCAGTCACAAAAACATGATGGACAGGTACTTGTAAAAACTTGGTACTGACATCTTGTCCTGGTGTCAATTGTGCATGCGAGACAAAATGGCTGTTCCGAAATAAATAACAATGTGGAATGGATGCTGAGATGATATTCTTCATTTTCCCCCTATTATGGCCATTTTTTTTCGTCCACATAAGCTGCATGACCAACCGTAGAGGAAAAAAGTTGCGGCTTATAATCCAGAAAATATGTTCTCTTCTTATATAAGTCATCTGTTCATTATTGAGTTTTGTATTTGTTACCCATGGGATGCATTTTTGGAACAAATCCCACAACTTGACCATGATACCCCATGTCTGCAATATAATGGCAAGTATTTCTTCAAATAGTGATCATATTCTTCTGATAGATGTGATAAGATCTGAATAGTGCAGAGAAGGTGTGCAACAGAATATCTATTAAACAGTTATATAAACTTATTTCTCCAATGGGTTCTGACCTTCAGCCCATAATTTCTTTCGTGTCTGTGATGCAGTTGATTTCAAATGTGAAACATATAAAACACAAATCATGGATAGAGAGTCAGAACCTTTTGGCGTATGAGTGATAAGATTTAGTCTACTTTTACCTCAATCCAATAAAGTGATACCAATTCCTGAAATTTATTAGTACTTCCAGGATATTAGAATAAAGATTAAGTTTAACATTTAAATGGTTCCCACTTTCCAGCCATCCAAGTAAAAAAAAGAAGCATACAGGAGAGCATTGCTATATTTGAAAAAAAAAATAGATAAGTTTTGTCTAAAATTTGTCGAATAGTTTGGGTGTACAGTTTCATACATGGCAAATTCCTTATTTACACATGCCCATGCCATTACTAAGCACACATCATGCAGAGTATGCACAGGAATATGATGTTTTAAATGCGAAATATCACTATTACACTACTTAAATAGCAGAATTCATTTACAAATTAACACTCGTTATGATTCCTGCTATTTTATTTGCACAATGGTTTTGAAATGATAGATCGTCCGATATCTATAGTGGTCAGTTGGGAGATCTGTGTAACCTGAAGATATCCGATTCCTGAGAGTGAACATACACTTCACTCTGATCATCATCAGACGACCTACGAGAAAGAAACTATCGTATCATTAAGTATTCGATTACGTTCATATTAAGAACTGATATATAGCAAAATGTGGAAAGGCTTCTGTGACTTGGGCTGCAGTGACAGTAGTATCAAGGGGGGGGGGCGTTACCTACCTCAACCAAGGAAAAGTTAATGTCGACATCAGATCTTACAAATCCGCCACATCCTAAAACACCATCGGCATGTACATCTTTTGGACATAATATTATAGCCAAAATAAGAGAAATAAAATCAAGCGAAAGCAAATTTAGACCTGAACCGGTATTCATCGCGTGTCTTTAAAAGCGGAAGTACAGAATGTTGTCTAAATTGCCATCTGAGAGTCCGGATAGAGACCACACCCGTTTTTTGTTTTTATTAAATTGTTTCAGATTTGTCATACGTAAAAGACTGATATACTGCAACTTTTTACTATTTCCTCTGCCGATAAAATTTTATTGCCTTGTTACCTTTTATTCTATACATTAAAATATTGTGCTGTTGCTCACGTGTGCGGTACATCTTAGGCTCATTCGAGCGTTTTATTGAACGTAATTCCAAACAAAGCTTCGTCAAGATAAAGATCCACTAGATGTCACTGTGCACAGTAACTTATCGATAAATTATAATTTTACGAAATGGAATACAAGTGACCGGCTTTCTGTAACATACGACGGAAAATCAAGATGAGTAGGCCAAGAGCATATTCGTAAGTATACGTAAAATGATTTCAACATTCAAACACACCTTTTTTCATCGCGATTCAAGTCAAAATACTGTCGCTAGCAGGTGCTCAACATTAAGGTCTTGTCTCGGTTTGAGACCTCTTAGAAATCTCTTAGTTATTGGAAGTTAGCTGTCGCGTTTCTGTAGCCCAAATCTGTGATTTTTTTCGCCTTTTTGTTTACCTTTTCATTCTTGTAAATGGATAATTTTCCATTATTTATTCTGACATAGTTAATCGATACTGAAAAAAATATGAACCAAGTCCTAAATTAGATCTGCATGAAATTAGCATTATGGTACTTTCGTTATCCACACAAAAGTGATTACGTTATGCAGTGAAATTCACATACCGCTCTTGGTTTATTTTTCCCATATTAATTGAGGTACATACATTTTGATCAACTGAGAATGTCTAGTCTAGTCAAATAAACGTTGTACATATCCAAAGCAAATCCCAACATATGTAACAGGGGACATAGTATAAGAAAACATATATAAAAAAAATGTATAGCACTGTATATGTAGACTTGCCTTATTATCAATAATTTGTACATTTTGCAATTATCACCCAATGGAGTAATTTTGCTGCAGGGCATGACTCATTGAAATAACTTGTGGTTACCTCATTGAACATCATGTAGGAGACACAGAACAATTGGAATAAACTATTTTATCCACAATGCAAGATGTCTGCGTAAACTAAGATCTCCTTAGAGTGAAAAACAAAATGTTTGGGAAGAGATCAAAGCACACACTTCTATCTTATCTGCATCTGACGACATAAAAATTAAGTTTGATACTTTACTGACTGAGCTATTGTGGCCCTGAAAATTCAAACAAAGAAATGCTACCACTAAAGGACATATCGTTACTGCTTGTCTATTTAAGATTAGGTGATTGGCAAGTAATGGGTTATGCAGTCATCCACAGTGACCACCTAAGAATGTTAAACTTTTTAGTGTGTTTTCTGATAATGAATCACAAAGTCCAGAATCTCTTGACTGTTATCTAGTCCAAACTTTGATATTGATTTATTTTGAATTATTGTCATTCATATTTATGGACATAAAAGGGATTATTTGGAGTATAAACTAAATACCAAGCTATATTTTTTCATATTGATGGGGGACTAGATGGCCTATCTTTGCTTTGTTGGATTCTCTATATCTTTTTTCTTCATTTTTACTTCACCAGATTATGGTGTGCTAAAGAAAACTCTGTCCATCTTTGAAAAGCCATGTTTGAAATAATTTACTTACAATGAAACATGACATCATATGGTTCGAGATTGGAGGCATATTCGATATTCTGATTTTTATCACTTGTTTGGGGATGGATGGGACAATTTCACTTCTTTTTGAGAAGAAAATTGGTGAATTGGGTGTCTCAGTGCCTGGAATAGGACCTGTTTTTGACTTCCAAACACCTCTCCCCCTCAGTTGTCTAGATATTTAGCAGTGAGATCGATAAATGATGGTTGGTCATCCTTAAAACATTGGATGGTTTGTCATCCTTGTTACAATGGATGGTTGGTCATCCTTGTTACAATGGATGGCTGGCCATCCTTAATACAATATGTATATTCTGTAGTAGTGTGCTTTAAGGTTATTTATTGCCAGTAGCTGATTTTTGTATCCTTGAGCAACACTTTAATTTCCACAAGGATGCTTTTCACAAACTTAAGTTATAAATATAGCCATAGCCCAAAGTAATTAATTTGCTGATGCCATACGACCCAATTTGATATAGAACAGGTAAGTGCAAATGGTGTGATCTTTATATCTTCTGATTGGCTGCAGAGACCTTGCCATGTTTCTAGGTAAAAAAGCTAATAAGTTTATTTAAGTCTGAACATATATCAGGAAAACTATCCGTGGCCCTATAGGCCTCTTGTCAATATTACATGTATGGCATAATGCATATGTGTTTTTAAGACAACCATATGTACAAGTACAACCAGGTTATTTACCTGCTATATATATATATATATAAATATACTTCCAGGAAATTGATTGAAAAAACATTATGATAATCATACAAGCAGTACTGACTTGCTCTTTTCATACTACATAGGATGTAAAGAATGTGCATTCATACAAATCAGATTGAAAAGATTTTATCGGGAAAGGGTTAAGACATATTTTTTTCTTGTTACTCATCGGATACATTTACCAGTATATGTCCTAAGGTGTTGACAGTTTGGGTGTACAACTTTTTTCCTTCTTTCTGAATTAATTCAAGTTTTACATGAAATTTATGTTTTTATTGGCTATGGTCTATAATTTTGTTTACTTTTTCACAAATCATACAAATATTTCATTTGCAAGATCATGTATAGTTTATAATTTTTCTAGATTCTAAGAAGTGAGTTATGATACTGAAAAGACTTTCTGCAAATGTGAAATTAGATATCTAACTGGGATGATAAAGAGCAAAGTAGAAAGTGTTTATTGGGTATAAAACTGAGGTTTTCCTTTTGTTCAATGTAACATGTATACCTCTTCAATATGGATGAAGTTAGCATTTCAACATTTTTATATTTTATCATGATTTTTTTTAAAAGAAAAGCTAATTTATCAATTTAATTAAGAAATTTATGTGATATGTGCTCTATCATTTGACAGGAAATCAGGGAATTCCTTGTATGAACTGCTTGGTCTTAAGAAGGACGCTACTCACGATGAAATTAGAAAAGCTTATAGAAGGGTAAGTCTTGTTTGTAGAATCCCGTTTGAACATTATTGTAAGCATTGTTACCTGATTATATTACTGTTGTCTTTGAGGTGTAAATATGTTTGTGTTGTAGGCCGATGTAATAGTAGGGTTGATAAAGTTCATTAGCTTATGCAATGTATTGAGCAATGGAAAAGTTAAAACATAGAATGAATATGAAATATTTGGTGAGAAAAGAAAAATAAATGAATAAAATAACCATTAGCAGTGAGTATACAGTGTCCATGATTCGACAAATAGATCAGTTATATTTTATGTTGTGTATTTTGGTTTAGACTGTAAATAATGGATTGTTAGTTGATTAATTTGATTAATACTGATACTACATCACATGTAAATGACCTATTTTTTAAGTTTAGCATTCCTGGTAAAGATCATGTTTCTTATACTGGTGTTTATAACTCAGTATTACAAATTAAGAATCAATAGGATATTTTTTTCTGATTTTAAATCATTTTGTGCCTGCTGAAAGATCACATTTTGTATTACCTATAGCTAATAACCCTTTAGGTTTAGTTACATGATTGAAATGATGCTTTCTTAGTCTTAATAATTAATTCCATTTAATTGATTACAGCTGGCTCTGCGGTTCCATCCTGACAAAAATCCAGATAACCCTGAAGCAGCAGAAAAGGTAACTACAATGTGATTAGTGATTATGATGTTTCAAGTGATTATCGTTGTAATTTGCCTAAAGTACAACTTTCATATATATAAAGACCAATGGTTTTTGGTACAAAGTTAATTCAGTTGAAAGTAATTGATCCTGTCCATAATGGTCACTTTACTATGACTCCTGGAGTGACCATCATTAGCTGGTTGACAAATTAATTTGTGATTGTGATGGAGATGTACTGATGAAGTAATGTACAATGAAATTATCTAGTGTTTATGTCAGTAAATCTCTGTACAAGAAAACTATCAACAAATATTCCATCGTCATTTAAATACAGACTCTTGTTTTTCTAAATCTAGATTTTAATGAAGTTCATCATTACATATTTAATTGTTATTTGAAAGATAAAAATACAAAACTAGAGGTTTATGATCAGCCCTAGCCTTGTACACATATGTTTACATTTCTGTGTAGTTAGAAATGTCATTTGATAGATCAGGTAAATAATTGAGGAAGGATAATAGCCAACATTTTGACATTAGACAAACAGTAAGAGATTGGGAAGAAATGCACATACTTTAAGTAGGAACATTAGAGATATACATATACCTAAAATATGACAAAAATCACTTTTGTGTTTTTCACTATCTAAAGGGTCAGACTGGATATGGTAACATTGTTATCTAAATCTCTAAATTTGTCTTTTTTTTAGGGAAATACATTTAATTGATTTCAATTCTTTCTTATGAATTGTTTAATTTATATTTAGAAGACTGCACTTAGTGTGTTATGTAGTTAGTGTAGTATGAACTTCGTCAAATTGTTTTTTTTTTTTTCATTTAACATTTTTCATGACTTATCATGACAATGCTTTGCGATTATCATTTTATATATATATCTTTTAAGATCACAAACACCTACATACATATATATATATATATATATATACAGGAGGTTAGTGACATTTGAGTTCATCTCTGTAGTGACAGATGTTACTGTTGGTGTATACTACAATACATGTATCCAGTAAAATGCCTATGACTTGTAATGCAAATCCACCAACATCTATTGGAGTTTCTGTAGAGATACCCGCTTTTCCTGTAATAAATCCACCTCCTGCTTTGAGTTAGAAATTATGTGGTGATCTCTTGGTTTATTTTAAGATCATAAATATGGTGTACTCACCATATGCTACACCAACACAATTTGTCATAGGTTATTTGTGTGTCAGGCACATGTTGGTATCACCAGAACAGCTGGTTGCTGAATAAAGTTGATTACAAATTTCTACTGTTCTAGAGAAAGCAGTGGAATAGGGACATATATCTTTAAGAATGCAAACAGTATTTTGATTTCTATACAAATTGTTATTATGAACTTTTGATTTAAATGTAAATATGTCATTAGGTGAACAACATCTTTAAAAGTACAAGCTGAATTGCATGAGTTAACAATGATTAGAAATGCTGAAGATATAGTAGCTGTGGCAGCTCTTTGGATCACTTAATTGTAATAAGATATAGTAGCTGTGGCAGCTCTTTGGATCACTTAATTGTAATAAGATATAGTAGCTGTGGCAGCTCTTTGGATCACTTCATTGTAATTAGGATATAGTTGTTCACACAGCAGTACTTGTTTGAACTAGTAGTTCATGATCATGTTCAAAGTTGTTATTGCATTATGGTTAGTTTTGAACCATTGCCATCAGTCAAAACCTGATTTATGCAAAGCATGGATATGACTCCATGGTGTAGCTTAATTTCATTTTGGACTGAATGTATCAAAAATGTATTACATTGAACTCATTGAGATTTCCTACCATATGTCAGATCCTTATACAAAAAATTCTGTAAAATTCTGTATATTCTGTATATTCTGTATATTCTGTATATTCGGTATACTCTGTATATTCGGTATATTCGGTATATTCTGTATATTCTGTATATTCTGTATATTCGGTATATTCGGTATATTCTGTATATTCTGTATATTCTGTATATTCGGTATATTCTGTATATTCTGTATATTCTGTATATTCGGTATATTCTGTATATTCTGTATATTCGGTATATTCTGTATATTCGGTATATTCTGTATATTCGGTATATTCGGTATATTCTGTATATTCTGTATATTCGGTATATTCTGTATATTCTGTATATTCTGTATATTCGGTATATTCTGTATATTCTGTATATTCTGTATATTCGGTATATTCTGTATATTCTGTATATTCTGTATATTCGGTATATTCTGTATATTCGGTATATTCTGTATATTCTGTATATTCTGTATATTCTGTATATTCTGTATATTCGGTATATTCTGTATATTCTGTATATTCGGTATATTCTGTATATTCTGTATATTCGGTATATTCTGTATATTCTGTATATTCTGTATATTCGGTATATTCTGTATATTCTGTATATTCTGTATATTCGGTATATTCTGTATATTCTGTATATTCGGTATATTCTGTATATTCTGTATATTCTGTATATTCGGTATATTCTGTATATTCTGTATATTCTGTATATTCTGTATATTCGGTAGTTCATCTAGATCCCTCAACAAAAATTTCAAAGACATGTGAGGCTCTGTGTTATTACAGGTTTAGCAAAATATAAACATACCAGAAGTAATCATTAAAAACCAATTAGAAAGAACAACTGTATGATGTAAAATTGAAAAAGTCATTAATAAATGAAAATGTTTTTGATGATATTAAGTGCCACTCCCCCTCTCCCTGTCAACATTATCAAGAATATTGTCAAGTTTAATGTCTCCGGGAAATTCTACAGGTTTATCGGGCTTGTATGGTCTATAGAAAGGTGGATAATGACCAATAAGAGAGCAGTAATTATCAGGGGATTACATCCTGCTTCGTCAGCTGGATACGAACCACTGTGTGTGTAGATGAGAGTACTCACAGGAAATAATCAATACCCATTCATTTATTCCATGATGGTAGTGGTTACAGGCCGTCTATATGGAGCGTTGCACTGACATCCAGGCCAGCTATTAAACTCAACATCAGAACTGTCAGATCACATAGAAAATCTCCAGTAAATAAAACACAATCAATGTGAGGGAGGAGGCTCCAGTGGGATATACCCAGGAGTGTCCATGTAAAGTGAAAGGTGACATCTGTAGGGGTACAGTAGTGGAGGGAGGAGGCTCCAGTGGGATATACCCAGGAGTGTCCATGTAAAGTGAAAGGTGACATCTGTAGGGGTACAGTAGTGGAGGGAGGAGGCTCCAGTGGGATATACCCAGGAGTGTCCATGTAAAGTGAAAGGTGACATCTGTAGGGTACAGCAGTGGGGGAGGAGGCTCCAGTGGGATATACCAAGGGGTGTCCATGTAAATCGAGAGGTTGTGATATCTGTAGGTTTACATTAGTGGGGGGGGGGGGGGGGAGAGGCTACAGTGGGATATACCCAGGAGTGTCTTATGTAAAGTGAGAGGTGACAGCTGTAGGGGTACAGTAATGGGGGGAGGAGGCTCCAGTAGGAGGTGACATCTGTTGGGATACAGTAGTGGGGGAGGAGTCTCCAATGGGATACCTAGGAGTGTCCATGTAAAGTGAGAGGTTGTGACATCTGTAGGGGTACAGTAGTGGAGGGAGGAGGCTCCAGTGGGATATACCCAGGAGTGTCCATGTAAAGTGAAAGGTGACATCTGTAGGGTACAGCAGTGGGGGAGGAGGCTCCAGTGGGATATACCAAGGGGTGTCCATGTAAATCGAGAGGTTGTGATATCTGTAGGTTTACATTAGTGGGGGGGGAGAGGCTACAGTGGGATATACCCAGGAGTGTCTTATGTAAAGTGAGAGGTGACAGCTGTAGGGGTACAGTAATGGGGGGAGGAGGCTCCAGTAGGAGGTGACATCTGTTGGGATACAGTAGTGGGGGAGGAGTCTCCAATGGGATACCTAGGAGTGTCCATGTAAAGTGAGAGGTTGTGACATCTGTAGGGATACAGTAGTGAGGGATGAGGCTCCAGTGGGATACACAGGAGTGTCCATGTAAAGTGAGAGGTGACATTTGTAGGGGTACAGTAATGGGGGGAGAAGGCTCCAGTAGGAGGTGACATCTGTTGGGATACAGTAGTGGGGGAGGAGGCTCCAATGGGATACCCAGGAGTGTCCATGTAAAGTGAGGGATGACATCTGTAGGGATACAGTAGTGGTGAGCAGAGGCCCCAGTGGGATACCCAGGGGTGTCCAAGTCAAGTTGAAGATGTGATGGCAATGGGGAGTTGGGGGACAGAATAGATTGTGTGTGTACAAGAATGGAGGGAGGGGGATCCAGTGGGATACTCCAAGTGTCCATGTAGATTGAGTGATGTGGCATTAGCAGGGAGATGGATTGCTGAAGTATGGCTATCAGTATACAAGTATAGGTACAAATATCCATAGATAAGGAAGATTACCACTTATTGGGATATTGATACCATTCTGTTACATCCCATGTTGGTCAGTGTTGGTCAGGTAGTGTAATGGAAAGGGCACCTGCCTTTCTTGTAAGTGACTGTCTTTTGATTCCTCAATTATATATTGGAATTCATAATCACACATTATAGAAAATGTGTAACATTTCCGCTCCAAACAAAAAGCTTTTCCCCAAGAGTGATAATTTGGCCTATGTAACTCCTGGTGAAGGTCTGGGATGCTTGGTTTTTATGCTCCCTAACCATAGCATTTTGTTTTTCTCAGGAAGCTGAGAAACAGACAAGTCTGTGTTGATGTGGTTGTGTCCTTGGGTAAGACACTTTATCCTAATTGCTTTGGATGACATACAACAGGTCTCCTATGTGTTATTGAATTAAGTAGCCACCAGTAACTACAAGAAGACCTCATCTCCAAATGTTTCTGGCTGTTCATTGGCCAGTAAACCGAGCAAGAAATACCTAACAAAATCCATACGGGGCTAATAGAGTGATAAGTTAATAAACTTGTTTCTTAGTCATTGTAAAACAAGTCGAAATGTTTAAAGGTTAAAGTCACATTGTGA